CCATCTACTCTTTAATCCCAGTTTAATAAAGATGCCCCTTACAAAACCAATTCTTGGGGTGCCATTATCAACTTGCGTTAATTAGACACAATCTGTCAGGAATGGACTTGCCAATAGTGGTGGGACTCACCTGCCTTGTGGGCTGCAGTACCAGGGCTGGCCAGCGGGTGCTCTCAACAACCAGAGGTTCACTTCGGCAATTAGCCATCACCTGGGGCTGATTGCAGGTGTATTTAAGGGATGGCCAGACATGCAGTCTGTGCCTTGGTGTGTGTTTTTTTCCATGGGCCCCTGTACCTTGAAACCTGCATTCCTGCTCCTGTTTCTGCCTGACTTGTTGCCAACCCTGCCTGATCCTGACCTCTGCTGACTTCTCCTGTTTTATCCCTGGCTTGTGACCCTGACCATTCTCTCCGCCTGCTCCTCCTGTACCTACCTGCCCGATAGTTATCGACCCGGCCTGCCTGACTACGTTATGCTCTATATGTGTATGTACCTGGGTATCTGTATCAGTTTAGGTTTGGGTTTGTTTCACCTTGTTGTATGTATTTGTGTTAGCTTGGGGTTTGGTGCACTGCGTTTATATTTGTATTGTTAGTCTTAATAAATTGTCTTATTTATACCAAATCTGGAGCCTGTGTTTCCCTGTGTCAGTACACACATCTCTGGTCACGCCCGCATCCCTGACACAATCTAAATGTGCAAGCAGAAATCTGCACACGTTGTAAAAGAAATATTGCCAATATTTTTTTTCTTGTTTTTTTTTTCTTTTATGTTTTAAAATGTCATTAACCAATAAAGTGATCAGAATGTTATCAAGTACAAAAGCTGGCTTTAAAAATAGTTTAAGGAAATTTGAAAATGTTGTGCATATTTACAAGCTATATTTGCAAATTCACAAACTCATACTTAGATTTATTATTAAAACTGAAGTTTAATCTGCTTATAATTTGTCTTTTCTGGTTCCTCGTTTCCCCCTTTATCAAAATGTTAATAACATTTTAAATAAAACCTTTCTATTTTCATTATGTACCTTATTTTAGACCCAGTGATGTCACTGCTCGGTCTTTGCATCTATGTATGTGTAGCAAGTAAACAAAGAAACCTTCCGGTAATGCTATTATGAGCAGCTAGAGGGAGCGCTAATGATTGCAGTGTGACTTCAGCAGACTTATAACAATGAGCTCAAATTAAACTCGGAATGCAAGTGAGCAACATGTGTTTTGTGCTCTCCTCTTTAATACAGATTAGTCACACTTTGTTCATACTATCTTTGTTCAGTTTTTCTGTTTGTTCTGACATTCACTTTCTCTGTTTAGTATCATTTAACTTAGTACTGATAACTCTCTAACACAATTTGATGTTCTTTTCCATGCTGCCTGAGCTGACAATATAAAGAAAGTAATTATCTGCATAATGTGATCCATTTCTGTTTAACACGTTAAACTCAGACTGCAAGTGAGCAACACATGCCTCTTTGTCATTCCTCGCACTTAGATAACTGCTTTTGATTGGTTCATTGGTTCATTCCTCCATGCTTTTGATTGGTTGCCATGGACCATACCATCTACTCTTTAATCCCAGTTTAATAAAGATGCCCCTTACAAAACCAATTCTTGGGGTGCCAATATCAACTTGAGTTAATTACAATTTAGACACAATCTAAATGTGCAAGCAGAAATCTGCACAAGTTGTAAAAGAAACGTTGCCAATATTTTCTTTCTTGTTTTTTCTTTTCTTTTGTGTTTTAAAATGTCATTAACCAATAAAGTGATCAAAATGTTTCCAAGTACAAAAGCTGGCTTTAAAAATAGTTTAAGGAAATTTGAAAATGTTGTGCAAATTTACAAGCTATATTTGCAAATTCACAAACTTATGCATAATGTGATCCATTTCTGTTTAACACATTAAACTCAGAATGCAAGTAAGCAACACATGCCTCTTTGTCATTTCTCGCACTTAGATAACTGATAATCCCGTAACATATGCAATGCAGCAGATCATGACATAAGAGAAGCTATCAAAATGTTTTGATAGGTAGATCTCAGTATGGAGGAGTGGGCATTTCTAAGCAGACTGCATTTACATGCAGGTCCTCCATGATTGAAAGAACTGAAATCCAATGAATGAAAGTGGTGGGCCAGGAACACTAGAGATGGGGAGCAAAGGAGCTAAAATATGCTGGATGTCTTCCAGCAGAGAAATTAAATGGGGCTCTATCTGACTTGATTCAGCTTTAAATGCACACTGTGAAAAGAGCAGCATGTGCAGCAAAATCAGAGTGAGTAATTTCAGCACAGCAGAGGAGTCTGTACAACTGTGCAAGATTGAAGGTAGAGCGAGAATACATCTTTAATGCTTACAGTAAGCATTGCTTTGCTGAGTGAATTTCAAAATAATTCACTTTAATGCATGTTGATGCAAGGCTCACATCAAGTTTAATACATAAAGAAAGAGAACAAGGAAATCAGGGATATGTATTCTCTGTAATGTCCATGAATCAATTAGAAATTGCAATTATTTCTTCAGTCAACATTTAATTACAGGTGATACATAGACAATTTAGTAACCGGTGACTTTTAGTCTTGGAATGATTTAGCTAGGTTCTGGCTAATATAGAAATTATTGTTAAAGGGTCATTAAACCCAAAGCTATTATAAATGTCTTTCTATTTAATATTCCATTCTAAATATAATACCTTAATTAATATTACATTAGTTTTCTATACAGTATAGAAAACCTGGTTGATCTGCCATTCCCTGGCACTATCTTCTTGCCTTTGTGTTTGCTGCAGCATCAGATCATACAGATTGGTTTGTTGCCACCTGTACTGCACATGCTCCAGTATTTATGAAAGGGCAAGCCATTCACTTCCAACTTTGTCCCAGTCTAGTTTCCTCAAGTGACTGTTGAGTCATGCTTGTGGATGTTTATTTATTGACCAGTAAATAGCCCAGCCCCTCCATCAGGGCGAAGTGTTACTAATCATATATAGGGTGGATATAACAGGTCTGATTGATGGAGGTGACACTTCCCTGTTAGTCCCCCCACATAAACACACAATATACACAGGCTGGAGGGGAGTGTCCACTACTGTGATTGGCAGCACCTCCTCCAGATATCTCTACCTCCACCAAGGTAATAAACAAAAAAACCTCATAAATGTCTTTTTATTATGATTTCTATAAAGGGTTAAAACACTTTCTTCATATTTATTATAAATGTTTATTTGGAATAGCTAAAGTGTATTTTTTTTACAATGCCATTTGACCATTACAGCGACAATCAGAGGGAGTTCAGACTGTATAAGTCAATACAGCATGCATCATTGAAATGCTGGAGGCTCCTTCTACAGATCTTTCCCGCGGAGGAGCAGGAAAAGATCCCGTGACTGCCACAATACACAGCACATATAAAGTATTTAGAAACATTATTTTTAAAAAATATTTGCAGAAGCATTATGTATTTGCAAATTAACACTGATGCATGGTTATCAATAGCTGTGAGTTGAATATCACTTTAAAGTATTATATTATTATTGTTATATAATTCATACATATTAACTGCCCAGACCAAGAAGTGAGCGACCAAACACCGCTGATTGATCAACTCTCAGTCTTCAGCCTGCAGAGAGCTGGTGACTGTCATTCACCAGCTCTCTGCTCTGCTCCTCCAGCACTCACTGGAACGCAAGGGTGTGGCGGGCAGTGGGCGTGGCTGGCTCAGTCTCTCAGCAGCTCAGTGAGAGGCTGAGCCATCTGCCAGTTCAGACATCTGGGTGGATACTGATTGTAAAGCCAGGATCTTTCCTGAGCCTAGACCTGCTGAGTGATGTCAGCCAACAGTGGGCTTTAGCCAACTATCGGCTGAAAATGGGTCACAGGAGTGCAAAATAAGTGCACTCCTGTGACCCACAGGAGAAGTAGGGCCAAAGGAGCTTTAGCCCTACTTTTCCATTAATGTATGCTTGTTCATGAACTCCCTTAGGACACACAGGAAATACACTGTACGTGATATTTTTTATTGCCTCATATTAGGAATGTAGAGTTTTACTTTGAAATGTGTTAGTAACTAAACATGGGGTGAACATGGCACCATGGTATAAAAGGAAACACCAAAATGTAGCTACATTGTTTCTATTTTTTTCTATATTTTTTTCTAACATTATATAACATTGTCAGCATATCTAGTTCTTAGTTAAAAGTAGAACTATAAGCAAAACTTTTTTTTACTTTTATACAATAATTGAGGGTTATAACTCCTATCTGTTTATTTTTTGCCATCTATGTTCCATTGAAGAGATTTCCCTTCAATTCCTATTCCATAACCAAAACAGGAAGCAAGACAAAAGTCCTGCAAATTAAGGGAATTCCTTGGGGACCCCCCAAGTCACCAGAACTAGTGTCCTCATTGGAAAATTTCCCCTCCCGTTCTGAGGACAACCCAAAATTTGTGGTTTTCTTTAACTTTCACTGTCAATGATAATAGTAAACAGGACAATTAGAGAGGATGAATCTCCCCAACGGGGGGCACAGATAGCAACAAAACTTAATAGGTGTTCTAATCACTCTCTACTCTGTCCAAAAATAAAAAAAGTTGTGCCTTTAGTTATACTTTGAGCATTATTACATTTTAAATTAAAGTGTTTACGTTTGCATGGGTTGGCCACAGTTTAGGTTGCTTGACAACTATTGGGGTGCAGGTTACGCATAGCAGACATATTTCAGGTCTCTTTATACCTAAGCTGTTACTCTGGTGCACCTTAATCAATGGACTGTAAAATCTGAATGACATGGATGTTCCCCGGCAGTGGGCTATTGGGAGATTCAAGCTGGGTATACACTAGTGGAATTTCAAATGAAAATTTGTTTAAACATTTTAGGAAAACTTGTACACAAATTCTCAGAATACTCGAATGCCATTTGAAAGTAGTTTAAGATTTAATTTGCTTTTAACATTTGACTTTGAAACAAATAGATTTTAACGAAAACTATATATGTGAAATATGTAAAATGCACATCCATAAGTCTAGGTCAACATAGATAAAAGCAAATCCATCAGAACGGACATCAATTCTCTAAATACCATATTTTTCACTCCATAAGACGCACCTGACCATAAGATGCACCTAGATTTTAGAGGAGGAAAACAAGAAAAAAAAATTCTGAACCAATGGACTGCAGACATAGTACAGGAGATGACCAGAGACTGCATACATAGTACAGGAGATGACCAGAGACTGCGGACACAGTACAGGAGATGACCAGAGATGGCAGACATACTACAGGAGATGACCAGAGACTGAGGACATAGTACAGGAGATGACCATAGACTGCAGGCATACTACAGGAGATGACCAGAGACTGTGGACACAGTAGAGGAAATGACCAGAGACTGCGAACATAGTACAGGAGATGACCAGAGAGTGCAGAGCTTTGGGTAGGGGGGGTACTCGAATTTGACAGGTACCCGCTCCCACTTCCGAGGAGTTGTCCTCCCCCTCTCCCTCCCTGTAGTCTTGTGGGACACGTGACAAGTCCCGCAAGACTACAGGGCCATTCACAAAGCGCAGTGTGCCCACACTGCAGATGCTGGAGCCGGGGAGAGAAGACGGCTGATGGAAGCAGGACACCGCTGGACCGAGGAACAGGTAGGATGGAGGAGTGGGTTCTTCTGCACAGTAGAGCCGAGCGGCCAGCCTGGTATTCTAACACGGCAGTGGTGACGGGGGGAATACCAGGCCGGCCACTCCATATTTGCTCCATAAGACGTACAGACATTTTCCCCCATTTTGTGGGGGTAAAAAAGTGCGTCTTATGCGAAAAATACGGTAGATGTTGTTGCAACTCAAAACTAAAGGGGGGCTGGGGCTACATAATTTAACACTATATTACCAAGATGCACAACTTACTCAGATCTCGGTAATCTACTCCCGCTTTTCTAGACCTGATTGGGTACAGATGGAGAGGCAAGCTGTCCCTGGTTATACACTGGACTACCTATTATGGTGCCCCCCCCCCCCAGGAGAAGACCTGCCATACTGTTGCCTACTCTTTTTCACTCTTTTGTGTTGTGGGATAGGCTTTGGCATACCCCTACTTTAGTTTCCTTGTTTACTCTCCTTGCCCACATTTTAATAACCCACTCTTCCTGCCAGGACAAGATATTAAGGATTTCCAATGGTGGCTAGATAAAGGGCTTTATTGAATCGGACACTTTTTCACCCATAGAGGCCCATTTACACTTCGATTTTGTGAGGAAACACTTGAAATGCCCCTTACGGAACGCTTTCACTTTCTTCAAATTGCTCACTTTTTGCGTACTATTCGACCAGAGGTTCAGGTCCCCTATAGAGTTACTCCTTACAAGAAGTGGTATACATAGGACTCAGGTCAGCGTACGTCGCGGTGTATATCTCTCATTTATGGCTTGCTTTTAGGGTCCCCTCCAAAGGATCTTTTAATAGACAGATACTTTGATTTCTGGCACAAGTGTTTTCTAAGATTATTCATGGGTATTACTAATGTGGCCTTGACTGAGGCTAGTTTGAAGGTCTTCACTCAATGGTACTTAGTCTGGACACATTTAGCAAAGATGTATCCTTCAGTCTCCCAGTTATGTTTTTGGGCTTGTGGGATAGTCAGTTCTATGTACCATGTATGGTGGGAATGCCCTAGGATCCGTGGCTTTTAGAATGGTGTATTTGCCTTGTTGTGAAAGGTCAAAGGAGTGTCTGTTCCACAAACACCCCAAATAGCTCTCCTCAATGAGCCAATTGATCACGTGCCTAACAGGGTACAATGCCTGATCTTTTTTATATTATTAGGAGCCAAGCTGACAATTGCTAAAGCGTGGAATCAGCTTTCTGTGACCCTAGCACAAGCAAAGAAACAATTTTCTTGGATAATGCTGCATGAAACAATGGCGAGCATATTCCATGACAAGGTTAAGAAGAGGTTTGAAGCTACTTGGGAACCCTGGGTGAAATATTACAACATTTCCCTCGAATCATAAAGCAGAATTAGAGGCCTATCGGGTTGCTTGTCTCTCTACCTCATAGTCCGACTCTACCACTTTTGTTCTTTTCTCTATCTCTCTTCCTTCCTGCTCTTTTTCCCGCCTCTCTCTTTTTTTCTCCTTTTCCCCATGTGTACCTTGGATACCAGGGCTATAGTCAGTTTTCAAATGGCTTCTACTTATGAAATTACTTTATTGTTTATGACTCTAAGTTATTCTCATTGAATAAGGTTACCTATGACTTTTACTGTTGACCTACTTTTATGATAATGTTTGTTTAGTTGCAAGAACAATGGAGTTGCGAAGATGACCCCAGTGCTGTACTCCTGTTCTGCATCTTGTTTACATTGTTGTGGTAACTCCTTCTGCATGAACAGCCATTGTTTGTTCTTTATTAAAACACAATAAACATATCCATAAAACGTAAAGCGTATGTAAACTGTAACAATACATTTCTTTTATTTTCTCCCTTTTGATCTGTTAAATATACTATTAGAAGCATTTTATTATATCTGGTTGAGAAATGCAAATATATATACAGTTGCAAGAAAAAGTATGTGAACCCCTTGGGATTACGTGGAGTTTTGCATGAATTGGGCATAAAATGTGCTCTGAACGTCATCTAAGTCACAACAATAGAAGAACACAGTCTGCTGAACATGATACTACACAAACATTAGATGTTGCCATGATTTAATTGCACATAACATGTAAACATTCACAGTGCAGGGAGGAAAAAGTATGTGAACCTTTGGACTTAATAACTGATTGACCCTCCTTTGGCAGCAATAACCTCAACCAACCAAACGTTTCCTGTAGTTGCAGATCAGACCTGCACAACGATCTGGAGTAATTTTGGACCACTCCTCTTCAAAAACTGTTTCAGTGTAGCAATATTCTTGGGATGTCTGGTGTGAATCGCTCTCTTAACAGCATTTCAATCGGGTTGAGGTCAGGACTCTGACTGGGCCACTCCAGAAGGCGTATTCTGTGCTGTTGCAGCCATTGTTTTGTCGAATTACTTGTAAGCTTTGGGTCATTGTCCTGTTGCATCACCCATCCTCTGCGGAGCTTCAGTTGGCGGACAGATGGTCGTACATTTTCCTGCAAAATGTCTTGATAAACTCTGGAATTCATTTTCCCATCAATGACAACAATCCGTCCAGGCCCTGAGGCAGCAAAGCAGCCCCAAACCATGATGCTCCCTCCGCCATGATTTACAGTGGGGATGAGGTTTTGATGTTGGTGTGCTGTGCCTTTTTTTCTCCACACATAGTGTTGCGTGTTCTTCCCAAACAACTCAATCTTGGTTTCATCTGTCCACAGTATATTTTGCCAGTAGTGCTGTGGAACATCCAGGTGCTCTTTTGCAAACTTCAAACATGCTGCAATATTCTTTTTGGACAGCAATGGCTTCCTCCGTGGTGTCCTCCCATGTACTCCATTCTTGTTTAATGTTTTCCTTATTGTAGACGTGTCAACAAAAATGTTAGCATGTGCCAGAGATTTCTGTAGGTCTTTAGCTGACACTCTGGGATTCTTCTTTACCTCATGCAGCATTCTGCGCTGTGCTCTTGCAGTCATTTTTACAGGACGACCACGCCTAGGGAGAGTAGTAACAGTGCTAAACTTTCTCCATTTGTAGACAGTCTGTCTTACCATGGACACATGACCATCAAGGCTTTTGGAGATAATTTTGTAACCCTTTCCAGCTTCATGCAAGTCAACAATTCTTGATCGTAGGTCTTCTGAGAGCTCTTTTCTGCGAGGCATGGTTCACATCAGACAGTGCTTCTTGAAACCAGTAAACCCCAAAACAGGTGTGTGTTTTTTAAGGGCAGGACAGCTGTCAGCAACACATCCAATATCATCACACTGATTGGAGTCAAGGTTGACTCACTCCTGGCTCCAATTAGCTCTGAGAGAAGTCATTAAGCTAAGGCCTCACATACTTTTTCCTCCCTGCACTGTGAATGTTTACATGTTATGTGCAATTAAACCATGGCAACATCTACTGTTTGTGTAGTATTATGTTCAGCAGACTGTGTTCTTCTATTGTTGTGACTTAGATGACGTTCAGAGCACATTTTATGCCCAATTCATGCAAAACTCCACGTAATCCCAAGGGGTTCACATACTTTTTCTTGCAACTGTATATATATAATATTTATAATATATATTGTATAATAATAGCTGTTCATACAGCCACAAATCCTGTGAGCTGATAGCTGCCTGTGCTTTTTCTCTCTGGACTGTTATCAGTTTACATTGTTCCCTGCTATTTCTTTCAGCTACAAACCCCCTCCCTTATGGAGAAGAGGGGAGGTTTTGTTATTTTAACACAGTCTTATGTATTCTTAACATACTTCCTTTCATAGGGGGCCAATGCTGCTCAGTACAGTGGTCACCCTAGGACAGGAAGTGTGTTAATGGCAGGATTACCAAGTTAAAATAAAAGAAAAAAGCGTGGAAACAAAATGCAGCTATGACATACAAGGATCAGCAAGCTGCAATGCCATAAAAGCTTATTCTAGGGTTTAGATACACTAACATTCTACAGTCTGTATTTGAATTCACCTGTTTCAGCACCATGGACAGCAGACTCTCTTTATAAGACCTTATCAATGTATTTTTACTTATCTATTTTTAATGCCTAAAATTTAAAAACTAGAATTACTTATTAGCAACTAAAGCAACAGAAGCAACGTGTTTTCTGTAGCACCTGGAAATTTTGATAAGTTTGGCAAACAATTGCAGCATGTTAATTGAATTTGATTATGCATAGTTTATTGATGTTAGTTGCTAATCCTTATAATAAATATACCTTTAAAGTGTGGCTTAAATAAATATTCCCTATTAGGCAGTGACTATAAATAATGAAATTACATGTCAGAACTATTACATTTTTTAAATTCTTATACTAGTGGTTTGACATTACAGTATTTGTTTAGTTTGATCTCTTTGGAAGCTAAAGGGGGCCTAATATTATCACAAATGTATAAATATAGGCCAATGCAAATAATACTGAATCTATATTACGTAAATCTCATTTTATATTTGATCATGACCATCTGGTTCAGCACCGTGGATATCAGACATGCATTGTTTATTGAAATGAGATATGAGATGTCTCTTTTTGTCTAGAGTTAAAGTATTACTAAACCCAGAACCCTGCATTCACTATATCTGGTCTCCCACAGTACACAGAACATGGAAATGCAATTATTTTAGTAAATATAAACTAAACTAAATACCTTTTCTCATCAGCAGTTAGAGCAGTCTGGTGACTTCTATCATTTGTTCAGCAAAGCACTGGTTATAGCTGGTAGGAGGAGTTTTCATTCTCCTGTGATTGTCCTATGAGGCTTCAGGACCCCTGACAGTCCTGACTGGTCTTGTGCTGATCACATGCACCCTTCCAAGAAAAAAAAAACAACTCTCTAGCAATACATACCAGAATGAGCATGTGCACCTTGCCCTCAAGGCTCTGTTATACCAGCAGATGGATTGGGGGCAGTGTAAGAGGGGGAGGATCAGGGAAGACAAGAACAAACATCCTTTTTTACACAATGCAGAGGATTAACCCCTTAGGTTCCACA